TAATGCTATATTCTTTAAACTCAATCCGTTTCGAATTTATATTTATCTCTAAGAATATGTTGTAAAAGCAAAATGTTATTTTGTAGTTTTCCAAAAGAATATTTTAAAACAGAGCTAAGTTACGATTTCGAGCGAGTTTTATTTCAAATGCGGAAACTTATTGTAAATGAAACCAGAAATAACACATAATGATGAAATATAAATCGTCTCTTTTTTCCTTTTTTTTTAAGTCTGATTCGAAAGCAAGACTATAAAATTTGGACTGTTTTGCTTAAGTTCATGGATTATATAAGTACTTCAAATATTTTCATATTCTTCCTCATAGTCAATATTATGATAAAGCTTTATAAAGAAAGGAGAAAACATTTTTATGGAACCTAATTACTCAAATGTTAATTTCTTGCTCCGTAAACAGGGCCAACTGACTTATCGTTTCGTCCTTGAATTTCCAATAAAGTAACACCAACTCTGGCGAAAGTTTAAGCAAACCATTTTATTAGAACTTCAGCTTAACAACTTTATAAAGCTTGTTTAATAAGAGGACAGTTCAACTCTTAAGAGATTTAACGCAGCAAAAAACTTAAAGAAAACTTTAACTAATATAAGTGTGAAATTTACAAGCCCTGTTTCAGCACAGGCCCTCGATATAACGCTTGTTTAACTCACTTAGAATTTGCTTAAATAAATATTTGAAATAAAATATAATTAGTTAAATTTCCGAAATATTTTATTTCATCCTTTAAAGATCAAGAATCGACCACGAACTTCCCTTAAATAAACTTACTTTTTATTTTAGAAATTAGAAGAATTGAACAGTCCTTAAATTTCAAATGAAATATACACTAAGCTTCATTATGCATAAGGGTTATTATGTTTTCTAATAAAATATAAAACTAGAGAATATACCTCTCTTGATATACAAGGTGAGGGCAAAAATTGTTCTTTTCGACCGAGTACATCGTGGCTCATTGGAAAAGTCGACATGTTCTAAAATCGGATATCGCCAGTTCGAACCCTGTTAGCAGCAATTCGTCTAAAATTGATTTTGCTTAAACTTCCTTTCTGTTAATTTATTTCTTTTATGTTCAATTTATTAGAGAATGATCTCCATTTTTCCAGAAACTTCTGAGTCTGTAATGTTTCAAGCTCGTTCATATATAAGTGGTTACTTATTCAATTCGAATAATAAAAGCTTGAGACTTGAGTACTTTCCTCTTCATTTACTTAATCACTTCATCTACGCGATAATATTCATGTCTATAAGTTTTTTAAATTATGCATAAATTATTAAATAATTCTATTTTAGGGCTTTCCTTAGCTTGAAATTAGCATCATAAAACTGTGAAATATTGAAACTTTGAGGTTTTATTCCATTTTGGGAAATAATTACATAGATGATTTTTGAAGAGATCGTGAATGTTTCGGTCAGATATCTCATTGTGGATTATGAAACTACTGGCTTACAGATGCATCACTCACTCCATTGATTTCACAGGAGCAAATGATACGAAAAAGCTGTAGTCTACAGGCGGGCTGAAAGTGTATCATGTTTCCTTTAGTTTTTAAAAAAAATTTCAAAGAGGACGATAGATATGTAATTGATAATATAATGTGAGTTTCTTAGACCTTTAACTGTTTCGATGAGGTTTAGCTCTTGAGTACAGTGATCGAGCAATTAAAGACTACTGAATATTGATAGTTCGCTCCAGATTCGAACCTAACAGAACGGGGTGACAGCATAGTCGATTTAGTGATATTCCTCATGTGTAATATGAATGTAAGCCTTCTCACTTAAGACTTTCCTTACAAAAGAATCCTTTCCCTCTAGGCAGATAGCCTTCGTATGTTTCGCCATTCCTAAATAACTTAACTTATCCCGAGTGAACCTTGATAACCTGAACCTTGAACATCAAGAGCTTTAACCCTTAAGGATTACTAAGATTATCAGGAAAATTCAGGATAAATATTAGGTAAGATTTTTATATTACGTAAATACCTCTGCATTTTGCAAGCTTTATATGGTGGTTTGCACTAATGATGATTTCCAGAGAGAAATCTACTATTCGGATCCAGCGATATATAATTCTTTTAGTAAAATCAGTACATTATTTTTTTTTAATATTGATAGAAAATTTTCATGAAAAATGTTTTAAAATATGATTTGACTATCAACAAATAAGTTAATAAGAAAAATTCTCTACTTTTTCCCAAATCTAATAATTTATTAATTACCACACATTTATTCACTTAAATTGATAGATGATATTTATTATGAAAAATGCTCAAAATCTAAAATGGCATCAGCTATGAATGACCACTTTTCCCTTGAATTCTAATGCAAAATCATTCCAAAAAGAAATTATTATTATTCATAATTATGCATTTGTGAAATATAAATTAAGGCAACGGAAGAAAATGCGATTCCATATTATATTTTGGACGATATATATAAGAGATATTTTCAAATGTGACTAGAATGTGCATTTTTCTTGGAAATTTAGAAGACTGCTTCAAAAAGAAATAAAATTCTGCTACGCTTTATGATATTTATCATTTAGCATACTTTAAGCTAATAATTTGTATTTTGAATAATTTATGAAAAATGTGCTTAATTTGTAAATAGATGTGTGGAAATTACGGTAAATTAAACTAAACAAAAAAATTGCTTCTTCCCGGAATTTTTCATTACTTAATTTTTATGGTCATTCCCCAAAAGCTGCTTTTCATTCAAAACTATTTTTCATTACTTCAGTACATAGAAACATTAATAAATTGATAATATACAGTAAAAAAATTGCTTCAGGAATAACTCATTCGAACTCTTCAATCGTCTGAAATAATGCACGTTGCGCTTCAGGTTATCAAGACTTCCAAAAACCGAGAATTTTATAACCTTGAATATTACTGAAACCCTAGTCTTCCATCTCCTCGCTTACTACTGAAAAGTGCACGTTATACCTTTGAAAAATATTTACTTAATGTTCCTTTATGATTTCGCAGATTTTTAGAGAAATGCATAAATTTAGAAAGTAATGAATTTGTCGTTTTAGTAGACAAATTAAACTTCCTTTTGTAACCCATAAAAAACAAGATAAACACAATTGTGAATGTTGTTAACAGGAGTTAAAGTTTTGCTTTTAGGTATTATTTTTAATTCTGCAACCCAATTAAAATAGCAAATGAAAACAAAAAATAAGAAAAGTGGTATTAGAGTACTGGGGTTTGCCACAGCATAGAAAAGCTATCTGCCTAACACGCTTATTGAAAGACTTTTTAGGGAAAATTGGTACGTATCCACGTTAAATTTAGGATAAATCGTAAAACTACGGAAACACGTAGTTAGACCGTTCACCTAGGATCGAACCCAAGCCAATTCCTTGAAGTCGGCGGTTTTTATCACCTTAGCCACTGGTGAGACCAAATACACTTTGAGGATAAGGTATATTAATTCAAGGCAATACAAAAACCGAATGCCTTTTTTAAACTAAATTCTAATAAGAATATGAAGGGAAAATGAAGCAGCTAACAATTTAATTATTTTTTTGGATTTAAAGAATTCATATCCTGCTGATTAAGACTTCATATCCTGAAAGAATTCATATCCTGCTGATTAAGACTTCATATCCTGAAAGAATTCATATCCTGCTGATAAAGCAGTTTCGGTTTATCTGATGGCAACGAGCTAAATTGCTTTTCTCCCTACGAAGCCTTGCTTAAAAATGTAATTTCAATCAATTTAATTTAGTAATACGAGTAATACGATTTAGTTTAGTAATAGTAATACGAGGACTATCAGCCTAGCTCCATTTAATTTCTGCCTAAAACGCAGACTGGATGATAGAATCCGAGGCTGTGTAATTTTCCTCACAAAGTTTTGAGACTGATGGAGTTTAAAAGCTTTTTTTCTTAATAACTTTATAGAATATCCTTGGGAACTTTTACTTTCTTGGGAAGCATGCTTTAAGTCTGGAAAAACTCACAGGATTATTGTTATGTCTTACTAATGAAACAGAGAACGTAATAATGTTGTAAAATATCCTATTATTATGAGTTCAAATACTTTAAAGTAGACACTGATCGCGTTTACAGAAACAGTCAGCATTTATGGCATAATTTAAAGAAAAATTTCAAATTAAAGTAAGTTAAGTCCTACGTTAGCCAAAGGTGACGCAGAAATGATTAACGAAACTGTATCGGGACACAAACTTGGTTCAAACCTGTACCGGCGTGGCTCAAAACTGTAAAACTGTACTTCTCAAACTTGGCTTAAACCTGTACCGCCGTGACAAACACTATTGACAAAAATAAAGCAATGCTAAAGACAGACTGCTATAGTAGAATTTCAACTATCAGCGTGGCCTTCAGCAGGCGAAACATGCTCTCACTAAACAATCTAAAACATTCCTTTAAATACTATCCCTTTTCACCTCATTTGAATACGCGTGAATTAATGCTAATGCGTTCTGGCGGGAATGAAGAAAGACAGTAAGAATACTTTATATAAAATAACTGATGAGATAAAATAAATAAATACCTGACATCTTTTATGAGATTATAACTACAGAAGTGCATTATTTTGTTCAAATTCGATGCTTAGGGTAATGAATGGCAATATAGTTGTAGATGTTATTATGGCTCCGAATTTGAAGTTCTTACCGTTAGAATGCTACTAGATTTCTTTACCTGTCATACCGACCAAGCAGCTGATTTGATGATGTTGAACTATATGTTGATATTTATAATAACGCTTGTCGGTATTAACAATAATACTTGTAGTGATAATATTTCTTTTTTTAACTCAGAGATGAAGGAAAAACGTTATATTCGAACTATTTTTTTATTAGTATGCCTTTCCTTTTACACTCATGTTTTGAAAATTATAATTTTGAGTTTTGTGTATGCGGTTTTGATATGAGCTAAGCAGTTTTTTATATATTTCATTCCCTCAAACACACAATTTTATAAAAAAATATCAATTTTCAATTTAATTTTTAGGTTTATATGCCGAGAATCACGGATTCGTACAGAATATGATGTATGACTCGTACTATGGTGACTTTTTCTTAATGGGACCCAATGACACAGCTTCTGTACCCCACTGGTGGGATTGGGCTGAACCGATATGGATTACCGCAGAAAAACATGGAATACGGAGTGCACTTTACTGGTGGGATGGTTGTCAAGTAAGTCATTCTAATCTAATCATGTTAATATTATATAAATGAAGTCACACCTTTCGCTAAAAAAATTTCTTATATTTTAGTAGTTTTATTTTTATAGGGTAATTCGTATATGCAGGGTGCTAGTCGTTTTTTTCTTTATAAAATCGTTTAGTCATGCCACATCGTCAGAAATTACGAACAAACAAATGCGCGTTTAAAACGTTCTGTCCTTAATACTGTTATATAATTAAACTATTGATTTACCTTACCACCAGTCAGAAAATATGTATTCGACAACTTTAATAGAAAGAGGGTAAAAATTAAGTTACCTTAAGTTAAAAAAATATTAACACACTAAAAGTGCAGCAAACAAAACTTTAAAATAATTAAAGTTAAAAGTTAAACAACCTTAAGGGTCAAAAACAAAAGTACAAAAACCAAGTAAACTTAAGTGCCTAAACTAAAATTCAAAACTAAACAACTTCAACTTAAGAAATCTTTTAAAGCAACCAAACCTAAATTTAAAGTTTACAAAGTTACAGTTTAAACTTACAACCAACTTTAAACAACTAAACCAAAAAAAAAAAAAAAAAAAAAAAAAAAAAAAAAAACATTAAGAACTTCAATTACTGATCAAAACTGAATTAGTAAGCAAAACTTAAGCTTGAAAATAATAGCAATTAATACATAACAATTCCATGTCTACGAAATGTCTTTTCGTACTAAATCGACGATTCTCTACAACTTTGTAATTCACATTTTTTCCTATCTCGTACCGTTTTCGAGATAGGGATGCTTACTCAGCCGTTTTCCACCACGTGGCGCTGTAAGCTATTTCATTCAGTAGGTCATGCCATTTACTATAGCTAGACACCACTTTTATGACTATAGCTGTAGCCGTTCGGCAGTTAAATGGGTGGTACCGGACTTTAGTGGGCACCCTGTATATCTTTCTCTATGTATATATATGTATATATACAGAGAGAGATACAGTTTGGGTATCATTAAAGTGACCCTATTCAGACCTCTGTAGAATCCGTTCTGCCTATCGTATTTTGATGAAACTTGCTATATACGTTATATGGACTCTGGGAAAAAGATTTCTGCAGTAAAATAATAGTTCAAATTTTGAAAACCACATGGCAATTTTCAAAAATTCCTTACTCAAATTATTTAAACCTATAAAGACTGAGCCTTACAGAAGAAAGATCGAGCTTTACTGGTAAAACTATTTTATCAGAACGGCAGCAATAGCTTAACTGCATTGCGTGAATATCGTCGTTCAAAGGGATTGCGAAAAGGGCCCCTATCGAACTATGTTTTATTGCAGAAATCATTTTCCCATGGTCCATATAACATATATACTAAATTTCAGCAAAATTCGATAATAGAACAGGTTCTAGACGGGTCTGAATAGGGTCATTTTAATTCTAACCACCTTGTACATAATATATATATACGCTGTATGTATGTGTGCGTGTGCGGTGTGTAATGTAAATAATGAAGATAAAATACTGTAGTTCATTATTTTAATTTGAAGTAACCCCTTCTAACTCCTTTATCAAGTTCTTAACTCTGATAATGATAGATTATTTCCTGTATTACACGGAAATTTTGTTAAATAAAAAGAAAAAATGAATTTTTTGTAATTTTTTAGTAAGCATATTTTCCTATTTAGTATAACCAAACTCGGTAAACGTAAACTCGAAATCTTATTTAAATATATCTTCAAATATGAAAATTTGATCGTCTGCAAAATATTTTAATTATGATTTCAATCAATGAATACTATCTAAAATAATTCTTCTGTATAAATTAGTTTTAATAATTTTTGGATACGTAACAGTTAAATTTTATTTTTTGTTAATATGTCATAATTCTGACAAGCAGTTTGTAGTTGCAATATGTATAAATAAGGATTGTGTAATATATAAATATATAAACAAAATTCTAATTTTAATTCGCCACAGTCTCGTAACTGTTCTTTTTAATTTGCTAGCCCTTTCTTTGCTTGCCCACCAGCGGTCGAGTGGATGGTAATTTGACCTAGGTTCGATTTCAGGAGACCAGATTAATTGCATGGGCGTTTTCGTAGTTTTCCGCATATGTAACGTGGATACGAGCTAGTTTCCTATAGAAATTCTTTCACGGTGGCATTCCTTCCCTTAGGCAAAGCGCTTTCGTGTGCTTTGTATTAATTAGATAAATAAAAAACTCGTTCTTCCCTAAAAATACAAGTTCTTTATAATAAATATCTGGAAATTTCGTGATTTCAAAATTAATCCTCGCATGATTCTTACATAACGCTAACAGCGTACATATTTGCATAAACTTTAGACTTTTTAAAATTAATATGACTGAAGATAGAAAGATAAACGTATTCTAAAAATTGGGCAGGTTTTCAAAATTACGAAGATTTAAATTCTGGATAATTTAGAAATTATTATTCTCTATAAAATTTTAAGATTTTTATTTTCTGTATAATAGTTCACCTTAATTTTTACTGCTTTCCCAGTTTTATCAATAAAAAGCTTTTCTGACATTCAAGGTATTTTTTTCTCTTTGAAAGAAGGATATGTAAGAAGAAAAATAAGTAAGATTAAATGCTAAATTTCATTATCAACAGCCCCTTTCGTTCTCTTTTTAAATTTGGTGATTTCCTATCTCTATTCTAAACATAATGATAGATTTTAATAAATCTTTCTAAACTTCGGTATTTCAAAATTTTCTCTCATTTCATCACTCATATAGAATAATAACGACGCATAAGGCTTCGGCCTATTATAGCATAAAAATCTACGGCCTGACAAAACACTAAATCCGTCTCCTTCAGCATTCGATGTATAATCTTGCGCCACTTCCTTTCTGCATCTCTCTCTCTCTTGCTGGCTTGTTTTCATCGGTAATATTACTTATTACTTACTCTCTGTGTTTCATAAAATATGAAAATTTACCAGGAATGGAAGTGCATTTTGGGCCGATTTAGCAATGCTTAAATCAAGCAAATATTTTATAAACAATAAAAGATGGTACTCAGTCTGCTGTACTAGCACACAGCAGTTCCAAACTAACGACAAGGATAAACTACGGCTCATGAACGTATACTGAGGAACATTACTATATCATATTTTCAATCAAGGCGAAATCTATGAAAGAGGGAAATATGTTTTGAAAGCCTTGAAGCACTTACATAATGATGATTTCAAAAAAAAAAAAAAAAAAAACGAATTAAATAAAATTAATCTATGAGCGAATTCATTTGTTAATATATTAATATGTTTTCGAAATTAATATCCGTATTTTTTTCCATGCCCAGTACATTGAATAATGCCAAAAATCGTTTTACGGCAATATCCGGGTTTATCGATAACCCGGATATTTGTTTATGCGGCATCGCTAAAGTCTTGTACCTGCTAAATTTCATTTTCACATATACGTATACGCATGCTAATTGAGAAAAGGTTAATATAAATTTCAGTTAAAGTGCGAAAAAAATAACAATAATTTAATTTTCAAATTCATATCTTTCCATCAATAAACTGTAATAAAATTTCTTCACAAACTTAGATCTCTGTGAGGAAAATGGCAGGTTTTTACGTTACACTTCCTATGTAAAGGACTGATTAGATTGATACACAGAAAAGGCTATCTGCCTAAAGTTACTTTATAGAGGTCATCTGTTGAGAACTGGTTTGTATTTGCATAACGCATGGGGAAATTCACGAAAAATACCCGTGCAGTCAACCCATTCACCTCGATTTATACCCAAGTCAAACTACCAATACTCAGCGGTCTTAACCTTTCAACCACTGGTGAGGCTAACAAATACAAGAATACTTTTTCAGATATTATACCACATTTTAATGAAATTATTACAATTTTAAGTATTGTTGTAATAGCAAAGAAGCTTGGCTGAGGTTCACGAAATATTCAGTAATTTGCTTATTTTTCTATTTTTAGGTGGAAATCAAGGGCAGAAAACCTACTTACTGCCGTAAGTACAAGTACGTAGGTTACTCCTGGCCGACAGTCAACGAGGACGCGAAGGAAGCTTTACTAACTGCCCTCGATCTCCTCGAGAATGACGAAATACAACTAGTACAAATCTACTACGAGCCAGTGGACTTCTATGGTAATTATTTTCCCACAGTTCGCATCATCTGAATTAAATCTATCAGCAAAACAAAGACTATGTGAAGGAAAATTTCAATATTTTCTCTCTTGCTCCAAATTTTGAAAATAACTCCCTCTCGAGGTATAGTCGCATAGGAAAATATTTTCCCAACATCATTAACACAAAATGAATTATAGTTGTTAATGTTACATTAGGTAAAATTATTTTGAATTAGAAAAATGTATGAATCTATTCTCGTTGCAAAAATATTGTATTTTATTGAATTGGTTTCGTTGGATTTAAAAATATTATATCGTCTCGTTTCACATTTCAGTAAGAAACAAGATGAAAATATTGTAAGCAAAGTAAATTGACAAAATTTTGTAAAAATTAATTTGAGAGGAAAGTATTTTAAGGAAAATGTTTAATAGAAAATGAATTATTAATGTAAAAAGCGTAACGGAAAAACCAGGTACAATGTTTTCCTACGTTGGTAAGAAACGTTCAAACGCTTCAACTTCGACGCGTATACTTCGCAAACGCATCAAATAATTGATATCATTGTGAGATAATAGTTTATCAATATGTATCATGTTTTTTACAATGTATATTCTTAACAAATGTTAGCAAATGTTTAATGTTCTATGTTAAATATTTGCTAATATCTTTAATATTTCGCTAATATTCTTCCTTTGTTCTATTAATATATCTTCGTGCATTGAGTACATCTGACTAACTTAGAATCTTAACATACATTTAGTAACTATTAATTATAATGCATATACTATTCTGCTTCGATTCCTGATATTAATCAGAAGATTCTTGATATAATTTGAAGATTTTCAATAATTTTTTAACACCTGATTAGAAATTAACCATCTTCTTCGATATTACAATGATTTAATATTTAAAGAATTCATGAATAACAGATGGTACACAAATTTGTTAATTAGTTGAGGAATTAGTGATTAAAATATACTGAAAAATAACTCTAAGGTATTTTGTCCCTCCTTCGCGGTGCTACTGAGCACTTCCGTTTTGATATTGGAAAGTCCGGTGTTTGAATCACGACGATGAGATTGCAAGTTTTTCTTGTTCCTGCTGCAACAAATCTAATGACTCTATAGTTGCTCCCAAACTAAAATGTGGTGGATGATAATTCATAACCGTCAACATTTGGTAATTGGCTCCAGCTTCCCAAGTCGCCCTTGAATTGAGAAGGATGTAACGGCTTCATTCTGTAATTGGAAGCCCGTCCGGCTAGCAATTAGGGAGTCCGAAGAACTTCCTAATCCTAGGAATCCACTGAAGACAGTGTGGATTTCTTCTGTTTCCCGACTTTGAAAAAATTCTAAAGATGCTAGAGTGGCGCCTGAATTAAGACTTGAAGATGGGGTGATGATAATTTTTGACCACTAGGATTTCGCGATCCAAATCACCCTTTAAGTGTGGGAGAATGTAAGATATTTTCCTCCTTACCGCTTATCTTCGTAGTGTAATTGGAAAGCACGTCCGGCTGGCAGTCGGGAGGTCCGAAGCTCTAATCTTGGTCAGGGCATTGCACATTTTTCATATTTCCTACTTTAACAAGCCTAATGATTCTAAACGGTAACCGATGTAAAAAAAGAATGTTGAATAATTAAATGAAATGTAAAGAACGGACAAGTTTCAATTCGTGTTAAATTTGCAGTAGACGTTGAAATATATTTTTATTTAATTTTTAAATAGTAAAATAAGTAATAATTTTCATATTGCCTTTAGGCACAGTATATCAATAGACAGTTTCACTAAAATGGGAGAGAGAGAAAGAAAGTGGGACAAATTTATCTTTTTTTCTATTTCAGATAGAAGCACCATCGTTTGTTTTATGTGACTCCGAACTTTGTTACATGTGAGTTGAGATATCCTTACTGATGATAAGTCGAAGACCCATTGTGACAAGTCGCATGTGCTTTTTGAGCATGAAAGACGTATCATCTTTCTTTGGTACAAATTATCTCCAACAATTCGTAAACTCTTGCTGTACATTCCCCCAATATTTCATTAGGGAATACTTAAAATCATAAGCTTTCAAAAAATAGTCTAGCTCGTTAAAAGATTTAGATAAACGGTTTAGGGGAGCAATCCAGTTTATTATGGTGCAGATGTATGGTGACACAGACCATCGCATTTGAAGATCTGTGGACGTTCATAGACGTTACCTCTAGCCGTTAATGTAAGCTCTAACTCGCTGTGATGCAATTTTAATAGTATATCATGTTTCTTATAGTTGATTTTTATAGAGGTTTCATAAAAATATATTATAGGTCACTTATGATTACTAACCACTTCACATTCATTAGTCTGTTCAACGAATTTTGATATCGTAGATATACAGGGTGTTTCATAGGTCATGGGACAAACTTGGAGGAGTTGTGGAGCGTACTAAAATATGCATTTTTTTATAGGAATGTAGGATCTAAAGTGACGGATTAAGGCAAGAACGTAAAAAAACGACACGAGAGGAAAATGTGTTTATAACGCAAATAAAATAGCCGCAAAATGCTTCTTTGTAGAAATACAGTATTCAGAATAAATGTTCAAATTTGCGACCACCAGCAGTAATACATGCTCGGTAACGTCGCAGAAGGGATTGACGAACATTTTGAAAAACGACAGGCATTTCGCGCACTCTTGCAGTCGCAATGTATAGTCGTGCAACGAGGTCCTCCAGTGAGCCAACGGGAGTCTCGTAAATTATTCTATTCAGATGGTCCTATAAAAAAATCCAAGCTGGATAAATCTGGCGAACGGGGTGGCCATCGAACGGGTCCACCACGACCAATCCATCGGGCCAGAAATATCCCATCCAAGTAATTGCGGACCCGCACGTGGTTATGGGCTGGTACACCATCATGCTGGAACCACATGCGATCACGAACGACAGCCGGAACATCCTGTAGCAATTCCGGTAGCACCTCTCGCAGAAAAATATGATAACATAAGCCATTTGTACGTGCAGGTAAGAGGTATGGGCATATAAAGTAGTCGTTAACAATATCCGCCCACACATTCACGGAGAAGCGGGTTTGGAATGCATGTGGACGTGTGTCGTGTGAATTATGAGTTGCCCACATGTGCAGGTTGTTGGCACGCTATTGAAGCTTTTTCGTCCTTTGAAAAAGTTGCCTCGTCCGTAAATAGCACATCCGATGGGAAATCCGCCTGCGCCGCCACTGCTGCAAGAACCGATGACAGAAATGAACTCGAAGAGGGTAATCTGTCTCTTGCAAGGCTTGGACTCTCTGCAAATGGCATGGGTGCAAACCAGTTTCATGCAATACTCTCCAAACGGTGTAATGATTCAGCTGCAGACGACATGCAGTAGCTCTTGTCTGAGGTAATTCATGCACAATATTCAAGGTGGGTTCTTCAATGCGAGGTTGTCGTGCACTTCTTCCACTCCTAGTGTTAGAGGTGGCTTCAAGTGACCCGTTTTCACACAGAGACTGATGCAATCTCTCGAACATTCTGTGCTTCGGCGTACGCCTGTTAGAAAACCGTTCCTGGTACAACCGCAGCGCTGCTCTGCCGTTCCCATTAGCAGCACCATACATGAGATGCATGTCAGCTTTTCCCTGTGCGTAAACTCACCCATCACGCTCGACATCAGAGTTGCGAATGTTCCTCTGATGCATCGGATCGTGGTTTGTCCGGCTCACTACCGCCCTCTACTGCTTCATTGCCAGCCAATCACAGCTGTAGTCCCTATCCATGATTTATGAAACACCCTGTATAGAGAGGGGTTTATGTATTTAATGTATAAATTATGTATTTAATGTATATCTTAATAAAAATTTAATGTATAATGTATTTAAAAACTTTGCAATTGCTTTCTGCTTCAAGAGATTTTCTGTTGTTTATAATATTTTAACATTAGAAACACTACGTACCTTTTCGAGTATTCTTTCCACGATTCGAATTTCAATTTTAAAATGTTGCTTATTTTGCACATCGAAATTTTAATATTAGTCACTTTACAACGTTTTTCGATTTATGGAGCAAGAATATTTCTCTTCGGAAAGCTCAAAAACATATCCTTTTAATTTACCAGTTATGTACACATGCAATATTTTGAAAGAAGAATAAATTTAAAAGTAACAGGTGATATTTCTTATTGAAAATAATACGCTGTTGACAGAAATGTTATTCCAAATAGTTTGCCTCTTTAAAATTCTTTTCCGATATCTTTCTTAAAAACGCGTGAACACCTTCTGTAAGTTGTGATATTATTTTTAATTGCATTACTATACCTATTCCTCATTCTTATCATTGTTCTTTTGGTATAATCCATTGTTTGAGATACGCCTATGAATCAAGTATTATACTTTACTTGAGTATATTCAGTAATGTGTCTCATAGTGTATTCCATAAGTTGCTGGTTTCTTCATCTTACAAAGTATTTGTCCTGTGCCTCCAATTACATAATTCATAGTCCTGTGCTTCCAGCACATGTACATCCTTTTAATTTGATGCCACGTAAGGAATTATTTATCATTAGTTCTTCAAGTAGTCTGAATTTTGCTTGGACGATTACATACGAGTTGTTACATTGAGGTAATAAACTTTGCTTCGCTTTCCTTTTAAAATAGTTGCAGATCTGTAGATCAAAGGATTTTCAGAGTCTGCTCTATATTCGTGTCTTTCGCTACTGTAATGAAATTGTTCTAACTATCACTTCAGTACATTCTATACCAGACGTTTAATTGCCACGCTTTACGTGTATAATTGGTTAAGTAATATGGTAGTGGCAGTGATTTCACTGCGGATTTGACGTTTATAAGCTCAGTGGAACGTTTATGAGGTCGTCCTTGTATTGCAGTTTGTTAGTTATAATAGGACATCATTTGCCCTCATATTGCTGGCAGCTCACGAGTTTGACTTGCACACAACCCTGGCACCCTGCATATGGCACCCTGCCCTGACTAGCCATTCCACAGATCTGTCCCCAGTAACAGATCTCTGTAATGTTATAGGCC